CCCGACCCGATCTCGCGAATGCGACCGAGCTCGGGCCCGCAGTGCCTCGCGCAGGGGCTCGAAGGAGAGGGGCGCGCTTCGCGTGCTTGGGATACCAGATGGTCGGGAACTCTGGCTCCGCATGCCGCGCCGCCGGTTCTGGCCCACCTCGCTTCGGCGCCAGCCCCCGAGCGTCAACCGGCGTGGCCCCAACATGCTTCTAATACTAGGTGTGCGTCGCCCCCCCCCCCTCAGGGGCGACGCGCGCACCGAGAAGCCTTAAGGTACATGCGACTTGACGGGCGCCTTCTGGCCACACCGCTCGGGAACCGAGATGCTACAGGATGGGTAATGGAGGATGACGATTAATAAATGATCGGGGGTCGTGTTCACGCGGCGGCGCCCGGGATGACGATTAGAAAAAACCGGCCGCGGGCTGGAAAACTATTTCTTTAATCGTTCTCCTCCGGTCAGAAATAGCAGGCAACTATTTGTTTAATCCTTCTCCCCCATTTTTTTATTAACCGTCATCCCGCATTATACGGTGGGGGCGTGTGTCAAGGAATCTGCCCAGAGGGCTCAGGCCCTGGAGGATGCCCTATCTGACGAGGGGGGCGGTGTGCTACCCGTGGCCACGTCTCCATTGGTGGCCCGCCGGCTCCCAGAGCCTGGAGTCCTTCTCCCGGGAGCCAATTGAGACGGGGGTCAAATGCAGACGGGGGTCAGTCAAGGCACCGGATCCTGCAGGATCCTGCGAAGAGCCCCTCCGGCTGACCCGGGTCGGCGAGCCGCTCGTGGCCGCGGGGCGGCCGCGCCCGTTGGCTGGCCCGGGTTTTGCAAAGACCTGCGTCGCAGTTTGTTTTTGTTTTCCTGCATTGCAGTGTTGTTGGGTTTCCTGCTGGCCCCGGGTCTGGATTGGCAGAAGACCCTCCGATTATCCATGGGTTCCTTTTCCAATGCCCGCAGCGTGCCAGATGAGATGTTCGAGTCGGACGCGCGCCTCCCAGGGAGGACCAGCGGTGCCAGTGTGTCCCTCGTGCGTCCCAGTCAGCGTCCCAGGCTCTCTGCTCGAGGCCGCCCCGCCCCCCTTCCGAGCGGAGAGGCACGCCGTCCACCTGCAGGGCACGGGCTGCCGCCGAGGCGGCCGCCGCCGTGGCGCGCCGAAGAGCAGCTCCTGACCGTAGGGTTAAGTCGGGCATGGCCCTCTACAGGAGGAGTATCCATATACAAACAGAAACAGTCGGGGGACGATCTTCGTGCTCTGTCGATGAGTTGAGCGAGTTTTGTTGCCTATTGTTGCGCTTCCTGCCCAAAACCCGCCTGTAGGAGGGCATGGCCGACCTGATCACGTTACCGTAGAGCCCAGGCCCTCTCGCGTCGTGAGCAGCATGACGCCGGGAGGAGCCCGTCAGTGTTCGGCCTCTGGGGGCCCTCATCGTATACGAGACCGTGAAGATCAGAAGATCAGAAAAGATAATTATCGGGTTGGGAAGATGGGGTTGGGAGAGATGACCAGATCATCCGCATTGTCGCGTATGCTGAGCGTGCTTATTACACATTCGTGCCTTGCGTCTTCTTAGCCCCGTCTTCCAATCCGAGGACTGTCTTTCTGAGAATAATTCCTTGAGGAAGGGGTCCAAGACCTGCAGGCGTCCACGTTGGGAAACGCTATGGTGTCGGGAATTCGCAACATCGCCCAAGAGGGGCTGCAGAAGGGCCCACGAAAGGTCCACGGTGGGCTTCGACGCACCCAAGTGACAGCAGGGCCACCCGTATTTGACGCCACGCTGGTCGCAATACGCACCAAGAGGGATTCTTGAGTCATCATGCGTCACGAAGCCCCAGCAGAGCTTGAATAAGTGCCCAGACTAGAGCCCAGACGGGGCCCCAGGAGCACCCCCAACGGAGTCCCGAAAGAGTTCCAACAGGTCACCTGAACCCTCAAACACTAGTTTCGTACTGCAGCTGCTCTGCTGCGGGTCGAACTTTTCTTCAGCTGTTGGCTTGATCTGCTGTTCTGCTGCTCTGCTGTTGGCTTGATCTCGAGGCCCAGAGCAACAATAAAGCTCTTCAGCAAACCATCAGATTGACAATCCTCGAAAGCACCAGTTTACAACCTCGAGAGCGCCGATCCCACTTTTTGGATTGATGCATGCTGCAGGCTTGGGGCTCAAGAAGTTGAGCTCGACATGAGAGCCGAACGAAAGGCCTCGAGAGCGGTTTCCGGTCGGACGGAGGTATACGATCGAGGTCAGTGTTTTTCGTGTTTGTGGGTTGCTCTTGTGCATCCTGGGCGAGGGTGCCCTCGACAGTTTGGCCGGCGGAGGCTCTCATGGTATTGAAGGAAGTTCTTCTGTCTTAGGTCCAGCCGTACCATTCAATCCGAGGCTCCGCCCAACAATCAGGAGGGGGAAACACACACACACAGACACAATTAATTGACGATTCCCAGGAACATGTGGGAAAATATGGGAGGTGGGGGGATACGACAATCAAGAACACATTAACAAGAAAGTGGGACTCCTGGGATGTGTGTGTATTAGTTGTGTGTGTGTCTTTGAGACCCTGCAAGCAAGGATGCTCACCCGTGCCTCTTTCTTGCCCCCGCGGTTGGCCTGGGGGGCTGCCACAGCACCGCGCCCAGAGCCCACAGACCAGGGCGGGGAGGGAAGAGGTGGTGCGACGCGGGGAAGGCGCAGGAGGCATCGAACCCCCTCGGCGAAGGGAAATGTCTATATCCACATCCAGTGCGTCTTGGAGTTTCGGGCTCTCTTCCCCAGAAACACGAGGAGCACTGGATATGGAATAAAATCTGGCCCCCAAAGGCTAGATGTGTGTCCATGTCCAGTGCGCCTCGGCCTTGCGGCGCCCCTCCCAAGAAAGTCCAAGAAGGGCACTGGATACGGATGTAAGCATGGCCCGCAGCGAAGGGGAGGCAGGGGAGACCTCGATCGGCGGCGAGCGAGGGGGGAAGAGAGGAGGAGAGAAGGCACGAGAAGGCACTCAGAAGGCGGCGGGACTTCCTCAGAAGCCCTCGCCTCTTCCGAGAAGTAGTGTCCCGTGTCTTGTTGGGGGCAGGCGCGGAACAAAGACTTCTCGGGAGGCCCGCGGACGTCCGAGCCTTCGGAGAAGGCCCGCCCCTCCTCACTTGTTCTCCCCCGGCTCGCCGCCGATGTGGGGCACGCGCGGAGGTATTCGAGCCCTCCTCCCCCTCCTCCTCCTCCTCCCCCTCCTCCTCCTCCTCCTCCTCCTCCTCCTCCTCCTACTCCTCCTACTCCTCCTCCTCCTCCTCCTCTCCGCGAAGGGGCAGGGGGGGAGACCTCGAAGCTGCGTGGTCACAGTCAACCCGCATAGGAAGGATGGGCAACCTTCCCAAGGGGAATTACCCTTGCATCCTTGCCTCCTCGGCCCATCCCTGGCCATCCTTGGTCACTTTCGTTGTCCGCGCCCCGCCCGAGAAGCTTCAAAACGGCCTTCCAAGGCCCATGCATCTTTATCGCGCGTCCTTATGACACGGGCCGACTGCATGCCGACTGGGGCCCTCGCGCTTGGATCGGGGCTCAAGGGGCGGGGGGCGATGCAAGCGGGGTCAGCCAGAGCGTCGGATCTTGCGGGACCCTGCAGAGCAAGGGGACGCACTGACCCGGGCTTGCGTTCAGTATTTTACAGGACCCTTCGCGACCTTGCAGGATCTTGGAAAGCCCGATTGACCTTTGGACTGACCGGAATCAGTGCATCCCCGATTGAAGTTGCTCAGACACGTTTTGCGAGTGTCCACGCCTCACGCCGCGTGGGTGCTTTTTGCTGCGCCGCTCGCATGAGGCGTGTTTTGGCCCCTTGCCCTCCCCTCTCTCGCACCTGTACTCGGAAGCGGCGCCGTTCAAAGTCAGCCCCAGGGGCACCGGTGCGGCGCCCCTGATTCAAGATTCCCCCTCTCCTTGGGTCGCGGCGAGAAACTCCTCCTCCTCCTCCTCCTCCTCCTCCTCCTCCTCCTCCTCCTCCTCCTCCTCCTCCTGCCTCCTCCTCCTCCTCCTCCCTCCTCCTCCTCCTCCTCCTCCTCCTCCTCCTCCTCCTCCTCCTCCCTCGCGTGGGGGTCGTCGGCAGCGTACGCGCTGCCTCAGGTACCCGGCCAGCAGGAGGCACGTGGTCGACCTGGGCCAGCTCCAGCCCCCCTTCGGCTACTGCGCGCCCTCCGCCATTGCCTCGTCCGGGAGCCCGAGGAGGACCAAGAGGAAGAAGAGGAAGAAGAGGAGGAGGAGGAGGAGGAAAAGGGAGAGAGGAGAGAAGAGGAGAATGAGGAGGAGGAGGAGGAGGAGGAGGAGGAGGAGGAGAAGACGGAGGAGAAGGAGGAGGAGGGAGGAGGAGGGGGGGGAGGAGGATGAGGAGGCTCCTTTATCCTGCTGCGGCTGGTGCTCCTTCTGCGTCCCTTGTCGTTCTCCTGCCTCTCCTCCCCATTCGCCACATCCACTTCAGCTGGAACACTTGCCTATTAGTCGAAGCGTGGTGTCGCGAGCGCGGCGCATCAATGTGACTCCTCCCGCTCTCCATCATTTCTCCTTTCGCTCCTTCTCTTGCATCATCTAACTGGGGGCAGGATGACGCATTCCTTGTAGGACCTGTGGGACCGCGTCTCGAACGGGAAGGTTCGGCGGAGGCGGCCATGGAACAGCAGCGCAACTAGCAAAGGTTCACGTTGTCACCGTAGGCACCCACTCCTTCCTCTCCTCCTCCTCCTCCTCCTTCCCCCCCCCTCCTCCCCCTCCTCCTCCTCCTCCTCCTCCTCCTCCTCCTCCTCCTCCTCCTCCTCCGGCTCCAGCTGGTGTTGCTCCTCCTCTTCCTGTTATTAGCGCCTCTTCTGATTTCGCCTGCACGTCTTCCCTTGAATGTGCAGCATCCTTCCCCCTCGCCTCCGTATTCCCCTCCGCCTCCTCCTGGCCATTCCAGCAGCCGCCAGCAGCTGCCCCTTGCCTTAAGCCTTGTCACTCTGCGCGCAGAGCGCGCTGCAACGTAGCTCCGCGCGCATGGCACCCGCCGCGCCCGCGCTGCTGTGGCTCTGCATCGGCGCGCCCCTGCTGCCGCGGCTGGAGGCGGCGCGCGTGCGCGGCCGCCCTGCTGCGGGCCCGCGCCCGGCGGCCAGGGGGTACAACTTCGAGCGCTTCGTGCAAGACTTCGGGCGCAGCTACGCCCCGCACGGGGCCGAGTACCACCGCCGCGCCGGCCTGTTTGAGGATCCGAGGGCGTCGGGCCTCGGAGGAGGAGGAGATGTCCGGGACCGCTGGCCTGCCCCCGGCGCCGCGGCTGGGTTCGCGTCGACATGCTGGTCAGGCCGCACCCCTGGAGAGGTCCGGGGAGTGGCGGTGTCGGTGCCTCCTTCCCTCTCCGGAGCCTCGGTGAGGATGAGCTTTCGAGTCCAGTGGGCACGCTTGTCACGCTTCCGGCCTCCTCTGCCCAGGGGTCTCCGTGCCCAGGGGTGCGTGCTCGGCGCCCTGCACCCTTGCAGCCCAGCCGTGAGCTCGACCCATACTGACTGCACACCGGTCCTTGCTGGGCGGGCCCTGGGTCCAGGATGGGCCTGGCCAGGATCGGGGCTGCTCTACAGTCGGGGGCGGCAAAGAGGGGGGTGATGACTAGGGGGGGGATATCATGTCGTGGGCCTTGATAGTTCCCCAGAACGCTTTGCGCCACGTCTTACTTCATTACGTCCCTGGCCCCCCCCCCTCTGGGCCGCACACGTGCCGCCGGCCATCATTTGCGCCTCCCGCTCTTGGACGCCCCCCATGTGGCCGCCCCTGATACAGTTGGCGTCCTTCTGGAGGAGTCGCTTGCGCAGATCCACAGCGTCAACATCCGAAACGCGGCAGAGGGCCGCCACTGGGTGGCGGGCGTCCACAAGTTCATGGACTGGACGGATGCCGAGAGGAGGTCCCTGCACGGCTACAAGCCCTCGTCCGTGCATCGCAGGACCCAGCGGGGCGGGGTCGGGGTGGAATAGGAGAAGGCGGCGCGGGAGGGGCGCGACTTGAAGGAGAAGGTGGGCGAGTCAGAGGAGAACGTGGAGGAGGAGGAGACTGAGGAGGGGGTGAGGAGGAGGAGCAGGAGGAGCAGGAGGAGCTGACGAGGAGGAGGAGGAGGAGGAGGAGGAGGAGGAGGAGCTGACGAGGAGGAGGAGGAGGAGGACGACGACGACGACGATCAAGACGACGGGGTGGGCGGCACCATCCGGAGACCCAGCGCAGAATCAATAGAGCGATGAGCAGCTCAAGCCCGTTTCTCAGGAGCCTGTCGAAATCTTGATCAGGGCACGGCACGGTATTACGTAGGCACTTTCCGGTGATCGCCATACTTCCATCTCCCATCCATTTCCGAGTTTTTGTTCCTTCATCGCATTTCAGCATCAATTCCACCTTTCGCTATCCTGCCTCTCTGCTTGCTGTCTCTCTCCCCCTCTCTCTCTCTCCCTCTCCCTCATTCTCTCTCTCTCTCTCTCTCTCTCTCCCCCCCTCTCCCCCTGAACATCACAATGAGGATGCTGAGTGAAGGACCCCCTTGGGCTCAGGAGTCGCTGGCTCAGGCGTCGCTTTTGTGCTCCGGCCGCTCCTCGGCTCTGCGGTCGGGCGCCTGCCCCTGGCCGAGGCTCGCCGTGGCCAGAGCAGCCCCTCCACCCCCCTCTGGCACGGCTGTGGCCGTCTTCGTCTCCGCGCCGCGCCCTCGTCTTCCTCCCTCCTCCTCCTCGTTGCACGCCGGGCAATTCGCATGTTTCGGTTGCCCCGATTGTTCGACCAGACGTAAGAGTGGCCTTTCGCCGGAGCGACCTTTGGTGCGGGCGCAGATGGGCCCCCAGATGGCTAAAAACGAAGCGCAGCAGCTGCTTGCGCGCCCAGGTTTGGTCCCCCAGCGGCCCCCAAAAAAGCCGCGCACCAAAGGTCACTCTTATCCGGGATCACGCTTACGTGTGGCCGAATTGCGTAGCCACGCGCTGGAGCGGACTGCCTCTGCCTCGCCGCCGGCGGATAATGTCCTCGTCTTCACCTTCTCCCCCCCGTGCTCACAGTAGTCGTCGTCGTCGTCGTCGTCGTCGTCGTCGTCGTCGTCGTCGTCGTCGTCGTCGTCGTCGTCGTCGTCGTCGTCGTCGTCGTCGTCGTCGTCGTCGTCGTCGTCGTCTCCATCGGACCCGCAGGACCGCAGCGCTGCAGGTGGGCGCCTCCGCCTCGACGGGCCGCCGCGCGGCTGCCGGCGTCAACCGCACCGCGCGCCGCGCCGACGTGGACTCGGTGGAGGACCAGGGCCCACCGCTCTGGGACCAGGGCAACTGTGGTCCTCAGGAGCCAGCGTCGACTAGACGTAGGAGTGACCTTTCGCCGGAGTGACCCTTGGTGCGGGCCCAGTGGGGCCCCCCGATCGCCGAGCGCGATGCGGTAGTAGCGCCTTGCGCGCCTGTGTTTGGTCACCCCGCGGCCCCCAAGAAGCCGCGCACCAAATGTCACTCTTCACCAGGGTCACTCCTGCGTGTAGCCGACAACG